GGGGCTCCCCCACCCAGCTCTGCCAGTGCCTCTCAGTCCTGACGCAGCCCTGCGATCCCAGCCCTGGGCTCCCCCAGCTCTGCCGGGGCCTCAGTCCTGACCCCAGCCCCCTGCAATCCCAGCCTGGGGCTCCCCCACTCACCCCCAGCTCTGACCCGCAGCCCCCTGCAGTTCCAGGGGCTTCTAATCCTGACAGCCTCAGCACCAAGGTGGGTGGGGTCCCTTTATAAACAGCGCCAGTGCCCCACCCCTACCGCAGGGTCTAGCAGAGAAGCCAGAGGGTCCCTCTGCCCCCCGCACACCCCGATGGCCCCGTTGAGCTGACCCCCCTGCAGTCGGGGCTGATGGGGTGACAAGGCACCAGCGACCCAACACTGAGTCAGCCCTGGAGTGATGGGTGAGACCCTGGGGCTCTGACCTGCTCCCCCTCCCCCTCCCCCTGCAGCATCCCGGACAAGGTGCGGGTCCTTGGCAGCATGAGTGGCATCCTCCTCCTCTTCATCCTCACGGCCGTGCTGGTCAGAGTGGAAATGCCCCCCCACAGCTTCTTCTCCGTCACCATAAGCTCTGTGTGGTTCATTAACTGTGAGTGGGGGCGGGGTATGGGACATGGGAGCTTTCCTCTCTCGGGGGGTCTCAGCCCCAAGGCCGAGGGGCTGGCTGGCTTCGGAGGGCAGGGAGTGGTTCTGCAAAGATTCCCCTTCCATTGTGCCCCCACAGGGCCAAATACAGTGACTCTCAGTCCACTGAATGCAGGGGTATCGGAGCTGGAAGGAGACTGGGGGCGGGGGAGGGGGGAATCCGTGATGGGGCCATGCACCCACGTGGGAGACGCAACTGATGATGGTGTGGAGGAGGGGGCAGTGAGGGCATGGTGTATTTTTTGCGGGGGAGGGGAAGCTAAGGGTTAACTCCCAGGGGACTGGCGGGGAGGGGGCTGCTGGGCCTGACGCCCCCACGGCAGCTGCTCTGATTTCCCTGGCCAGGCCCCTGTGCTGGGCTCAGCGTCCCCTCCTCCCCCCATGGCACTGTGGGTCCCCAGGCGGTGGGGGCAGTTCTGATCCACTGTGTCTCTACCCAGCGTTCTGCGCCATCCTGCAAGGCAGCCTGTTCGGGCAGCTGGGCACCCTGCCCCAGGGCTACAGCACTCTCTTCCTGAGCGGCCAGGGCATGGCCGGGACCTTCGCCGCCAGTGCCATGCTGCTCTCCATGGCTAGTGAGTATGATGGGGACCCGCCTCGCCACCCGCAGCCCCTCTCCTGCTCCCCCCACTGAGCCCCACCCCTAGCACTGACTGTGAGGGGAGAGCGCCCCCTACTGAGTCCCCCCTCCCTGCAGCACAGCGCCCCCTAGTGCTGCACTGGAACATTGGGATCGGCGCCCGGTCGTGCTGTCTGCGCGCTGTTGCTCCATGTGCTGTGCTGGCTGTTTCAGGTGGTGCGGATGCGCAGACGTCTGCCCTGAGCTACTTCATCACCCCCTGTGTTGGGACCCTGATGTCCATTGTCTGCTATCTGGTGCTGCCCCGTATGGTGAGATGCTGCACCGCCGGTGTGGGGAATGGGGCATAGGGACTTTCCCCACTGGGGGGCGCTGGCTCCAAGCCGACTGGGGATGCAAGCAGTATGTGTGTGTGTGGGGGGGTGTCTTTGGCAGGCCCCAGAGGTTTGGGGGCCTATAAAAGCAGTGTCCCAGGAGTGTCCCCAGCTAGCGGGTTGACTGGACCCATGTGGGGGAGATTAGGGCTGGGGGGGGGGTTGGGTGATAGGGCTGTTGGGGAGGGGTCAGTGTGTAGCAGCCAGTGGGGTTGTGTATTAGCAATGGGGGGATTGAAGGGACATGGGTGTGATGCCCTGGGACAGATGTGTGCCCCTTCCACAGACCCCCTCCTGTCCTGTCGCCCCCTGCAGGCCTTCTTCCGTCACTACCTGGAGCGGAGTTGGCAGCGTGACCCACGCAATGAGCTGGAGACCAAGGCTGGGCTGCTGGGCCCCGGTACGCAAGGTCCTGGGGAGTTGTGGGGCCCTTTGCTGCAGGGAGACACCTCGCTGCCCCCAGCATGGGAGAGGGTTGCTTCCAAACCACTGGCTATGCCCAGGCTGGCTGAAGACCTCTAGGATCTCTGATCACTGCCTCTCTTCCCTGTGTCCCCAGAGGAACAGAGTGGGGACCAGTCGGAGAGGCCTGGGGAGGAGCCAATGCTGGGAATGGCCAACGGGACGCTCAGGACATTGGAGGAGATTAGTGTGGAGAGCTCCGGGAAGGGAGCCTTCGCCCTGCACAATGGGACAGCCACCAGTGCCCAGAACGGGGGCCCGGGACCAGAGAGACCGTCAGTGTTCAGTGTGCTCCGAAAGGTAAAGGGGATGGGGGGAAGAGTCCCTGCAGTACGCTATAAACAGCCCCAATGCCCCGTCCCAGAGGTGGCTGCATCTCTGCGCCAGGTGAGGGGTCCCAATATAAACAGCCCCCACTCCCCACCCCAGAGGTGGCTGCATCTCAGCACTAGGTGAGGGGTCCCTGGGTAGACAGCCCCTGCCTTACCCCCTGGAGACAGCTGTGTCTCAGTGAGGGGTTCTGGAGCTGTTGGGGGTGGGGCCCAGCTGGCTCTGACTGTCTTCCCACCCCCGCACAGATCTGGCTGCTGGCACTCTGCATTGTCATGGTTTTCACTATCACCCTGTCCGTGTTCCCTGCCATCACTGCCACCGTCACCAGCACCTCGGAGAGCAAGCAATGGAGTGAGTATAGGGAGTGGGGTCTCGTGGTTAGAACGTGGGGGGGCTGGGAGCCGGGACTCCTGGCGTGAATCCCTGGCTCTGGGTGGTGCTGTGGTTGCTGATGCCCCAGGCTGGGTTGGAGCAGGCGCCCCCTAGAGGTGAAAGCCTCATATCCTGTTCCCCAATTCTTCCCCTCCCCCATAGGTGAGTTCTTCACCCCTGTTTGCTGCTTCCTGTTGTTCAACATGATGGACTGGCTGGGCCGCAGCGTCACCTCATACTGCCTCTGGGTGAGTGGGGGGACACCCAGCCCCTGCTGGCCAAGCTCTGCATTCATTGGCAGGGAGGGGGGGAATCAGCAGCCTCCATGGGCGGTGAACCCCTGGGGCAAAGGGAGGGCTTTATGGAGTGGGTGATGTTGGGGGGACTAGATGGGGGGCCCAATCCTGCACTGGGTCTGCGTGGGGGGGCTAGCCCATGATTGCAGGGTTTCCCTCCCACTCTGACACCTCCCCTCCCCTCCCCCCGCTGCTCTCCAGCCAGAGAAGAGACTATGGCTACTCCCCCTGCTGGTGGGCCTGCGCTTCCTGTTTGTGCCCCTGCTGATGCTATGCCAGGCCGAGCCCCGCACCCGCCTGCCCGTGCTCTTCCACCATGACGCCTGGTTCATCCTCTTCATGCTGCCTTTCTCGCTCTCCAATGGCTACTTCGTCTCGCTCACCATGTGCCTCGCCCCCAAGTGAGTGCTGGGCAGGGTCGGGGCTCAGTAGGGGGCGCTCTCCCAATGCAGTCAGTGCTGAGCGCAATGCCCCAGGGTGCTGCTAGGGGGCGCAGTGCTGCACTGTAGGAAACCGGGTGGGAGGGTCTCTAGAGGGTACTTCCCCCTCGCAGTCAGTGCTGACCCCAATGCCCCAGTGTGCTGCTAGGGGGCGCTGTGCTGCACTGCTGGGAGCAGGGTGGGGGGTCTCTAGAGGGTGCTATCCCAGCACAGCCATGCTGACCCAATGCCCCAGTGTGCTGCTAGGGGGCGCTGTACTGCACTGCAGGGGGAGGTCTGTAGGGGGCGCTCTCCCAGTGCGCTCAGAGTGACATCTCAGCACCAGGAGAGGGATCCTGATGTAAACAGCTCTCATAGCTAGGGTGACCAGACGCCCCGATAAAATTGGGACCGTCCTGATTTTGAGCTGTTTGTCCCTCGTCCCGACCGATCTGTGGTTGGGACGCAATTTTTGTCCCGATATTTTCTTCATCTCATCTGGTCACCCTACTCACAGCCCATCCGAGAAGTGGCTGCATCTCAGTGCTGGGTTTCTCTGCATGTTGGGGAGTGGTGTGTGTGTGTGTGTGTGTGGTTCTCAGCTGTGTCCTCCCCGCCACCCTCCTCTCTCGCCCCATAGGCAGGTGCTGCCGCAGGAGAGCGAGCTGGCTGGAGCCATCATGACCTTCTTCCTGGCACTAGGGCTGTCGTGTGGGGCTGGGCTCTCCTTCCTCCTCAAGGCCCTGCTGTGATCCCCCCCTCAGATCCATCCCTTCATCTTCCAGCAGCTCGTCTGAGTGCACCCCATCAAACTGGAGGGCTTGGAATAGGAGGGATGGAGGGGCTTTGCATAGGAGGGGGGCTGGTACCTCCTGACTTCCCCTTTTCTTTCCATGGGCATCATCTCAGCCTGGTGAGTGTAAAGATTAGTGTCCTGCCCCCCCCCCCAAGTCTGTTGCAAGGCAGATACCCCATTAGGGGTTGCCCCCCAGCCCCATTCTGTTCCTCACCACCGTTCCATAGGAATTCCAGCAAAGGGAATGTCTATAGAATGGTGTGGCGCCGGAGGAAAGGGTTAATGTAAAGAAGTATCTGGGGTTTTAATGTATTTATTTGTGGGGCTCCTGGGCTGATTTTGGCTGGCTCCTGAGCCCAGGTGGGGGGCTGAGCCCCATGCGGTGTCATGGGCTACACAAAGGGACACCACAGCATACCACTTCGCCTGGAGATTCACGTAGAGCCCGGTCTCCAACTCCTGCCCCTTCGCCCTGGGGTCGAGGAAGGGGAGGACCCCAAGGGTTGCTGGGGCTTTGCCTCTGCTGCAGAAACGCACATCCAAGCCAGACTGCTGGCTGGGCTCTAAAGGGTTAAATATCCCCTCTCTCCTGACCCCCATAAGGGTCCTAGCTCCTGGATGGCGGCTACTGCCCTTTAGAGGGAATATTGCCTAATGGGTAGGACAGGAGATGGGAGCAAGGACACCTGGGTTCTGTCCCCAGCTCTGGGAAGCACGTGCTGGCCAGTTGATTGTAAACTCTTTGGGGCAAGGTCTTGTCTGTGCTCTGAAGTGCCTAGTTATGCTTTAGGTCAATGGTTCTCAAACGTCCGTACTGGTGACCCCTTTCATACAGCAAGCTTCTGAGTACGACCCCCCTTAGAAATTAAAAACACTTGTTTATGTATTTAACACCATTATAAATGCTGGAGGTTTGGGGGTGGAGGCTGAGAGCTCACGACCCCCCATGTTTGAGAACCCCCCCGCCTTAGGTGCTAGATAAATAATAGTAGTTACAGTAGGTGCGGCAATTCCTCTAACAGGCATCAGTAGCTAAGGCCCAGCCGCCAGCAGGCGGCTTTGTGCTACTGGAAGAGCTCAAGGGCGGCTCGTGGGCAGGTCTGGCAACGCAGCAGACCTGGGTTTGGTACCCTGCCGTGCCCCGGATTCCCTGTGTGACCTTGAGCACGTCCCTTAGCCTCTCTGTGCCTCAATTTCCCCATCTGTACAATGGAGACATTAGCACTGCCCTGGCCTCCCCAGGGCACGAGGACATATTCAGTTCATGTTGTGAAGCGCCCAGATACCATGGTGGCAGGTGCTATAGAAATTCTCGTGGGAGAGAGAAGGACATGGTGGCATTTTTCCCCTTTGGCTTTATTGTGTGCGTGGGGCTGGAGTGGCCGTTTTGTATTTCATTGCCTGCTTTTGGCTCTTTTTAATAAGTTTGATTTTTATTTTTTCAATAAAAGTGCTGTGAGTTTTTTACAAGGATTCGTCTTGGCCTCTTTGTGTTAACTCCCCATTTGCTGCTAAGAGCAATTGTGGGGTGGCTGGGAAACCAAGGCTAAGCGGGCAGGTATTCTGTAGGTGCACAGCCCCCATCCCACCCCATCCCATCCCGTAGCGACGTGGGGCTGGGTGTGGATATGTGCCATCCTGTGCAGCAGCTTTGCTGGGAAGTGAAATGGAATTAGAGCTGCTGGTTTTGCCTAAGCTACTGCAGGGGGCAGAGGGGTGTGTGTGTCATTATATTATATGTGTAAAAATCTCCCCCTTCTCCCAGCACCACTGCTGCCCTACACTGGGTAGGAGCAGGTGTCCGGGCCATGCAGATCCAGGGCTGTTCCATGGGAGTTATTTACATTATACACACCCGCCGTCTAGTGGAAGGGTTAGCTAGCCCCCAGAGGTAATCGCTCCTCCCAAGGAGCAGTTCTGTCTCTAGTCAGCTCCAATCAGAGACCTCCGCCCAGCTACCCACACGGCTCCATAGACCCACAGCCCCGACAGTGACTAATCAAATCTCATACTTCTGGGCTTCAGCTGATCCCCTGCAGGTGTCAGGAAGGGAATTTTTCCCCCCGATGCATAATTCACCCCCCACCCTGAAGCATCAGAGATCAGCCACAATTGGAGACAGGATGCTGGACAGGCTCTGCCAGTGCTTGAAGATGGTTTGGAGAATCACTTTTAGAGATGCCGGGCTGGTGTCTTGGGCCTGATTTACGCTAAGGGCTGGTCTCCACTAGAAAATTAGATGGACCCAGCGACGTCACCCAGGGGTGTGAAAAATCATTAAAGAGAGACACTTAAAAAGCTCCATCTATTCATCTTACCAAAAAAGAGAGGTGACTGGATTACAGTCTGTAAGTACATTCCTGGGGACAAAAGTACTAACCAGCTCTTCGACCTAATGGAGCTCTGGGGGCCACATTATAAAAAAGCTGTTGAAAAATTGGAGAGGTTGCAGAGAAGAGCAACACAAGTGAATGGAAAAAAATGTTGTAGCGAGAGAGGTAAGGAGCTCGGTCCATTTAGCTTCTCAAAGAGAAGATCAAGAGGTGGCTTGATCTAGGTGTCTCAGTACCTTCATGGGGAGAAGACACCTAAAACTGATGGGCTCTTTAAGCTAGTGGAGAAAGGCAGAACGAGAACCAAGGGGTGACAGCTGAAGCAAGACGTGTTCCAAGGAGAAATAAGGCACCAGTTTTTAACTGAACAAGTGATTAACCACCAGCACAAATTGCCAAGGGAAGTAGTGGATTCTCCATCTCTTGGAGTCTTCAAATCCAGCCTGACTGCTTTTGGGGAAGATGCTGTAGTTAAACCCAGGTGACCGGGCTCAGTGCAATCTCTGGCCTGGGCCATACAGCTGGTCAGGCTAGATGATCTGCTGGCCCTTTTTGGCCTTAAACTCTATGAATCTATTAATGAAGCAACAAATATTCACAGGTGGGACTACCTCAATGCCAGCTGTACCCTTGGGCTCCTCTTAGCTGATACTGCCCAGGGCCCCTATTCTGTTCAGCCTAATTCTTTGCCAGTCTTCTGCTGTTTGCTGGACTCAACCCCCTGCATCAGCTTCCCAGACAATCTGAGAGTTTCATCCAGCCCATCCTGTTGGGAGAGTGAGTCTGTTGGGTCTCAGCCCTGTTCCTTGCAGCACTAGGGCTCATGCCATCCCCACACCAGCCCCATACCCCTCAACAGGCCCCAAGCCCTCACCTTCTTCCCTCAGATGGGGTTCCTGCAGGGAAGAAGGGATATCCCACGCTGGGGCTGCTGGTCTGGCCCCTCTCCAGGATCTGTGATGAATTGAGAGGGGACTGGTGGTGGTGGTGGTGATGGGGAATGGTGTAGGTCTATGATGGCACTGCCTGAAGCAAAGCATCACATAAGAACGGCCACACTGGGTCAAACCAATGGTCCATCTAGCCCAGTATCCTGTCTGCCAATAGTGACCAATGCCAGGTGCTTCAGAGGGAGTCCATGGGAAGGATGTGCCCCCCAGCATGTGGTACTCAACATAACCACAAACTCTGGCATGGAAAATAGATTCCTGACTTCTGTTCCCAGATCTTGGAGCAGAGTAGGGGCTAGTGGTTAGAGCAGAGGGGCTGAGAGCCAGGACTCACTGGGTTCCAGTCCCTATTCAGCCACTGATTGTTTAGGTGAGTTCCTCCCCAGCAATCTGCCTCAGTTTCCACATCTGTCAAGGGGGAGGACACATTGAGGCCCAATTATGCTTAAATTGCCTCCACTTCAAGGGGACTGAAGCACACAGCTGACGTGTGGGTGCTGTGCTGTGGCTCAGGGGCTTGGACACTAGTCATTCAGTGCCACATTAACGACAGCCCCAAATCCCAGCGTTCCTATCCAAAACCGACTCCTCCGGCTCTTGGGGGCTCCCTTCCCCCAGGCTGACCCTTTCATCCATGTGATGCAGCCCCTTTTGGAAAATGAGTCCCGAGTGGGGATTTCTACCCCCCCCCCCCCCACACACACACTATCCGGAGGCACATCCATCCCATCCAGGGGTCTCCCATTTGGCCCCTCTAGTGAGTGACAGATCCCCTGCCATCTGCCTTCATCTAAGCGGGGCTTGTTGGCTGCTCGACCTGCCCCCCATGAATAGCTAGCTTGCTTTCATATTCCTAGGGCAGTGTATTGGGGAGTTTAATACAGTTCCCAGCCCACCACCCAATAGACACCCCCCATTCAATCTACTGTGGGCTATTCGTTGGGCCCCCTGATACTGAGGGGGGATTTTACTGCACACACCTCTCCCTGCCAGCGTTAACCCCAGAGGCTGAGAGGAGACTTTATTGCATGAAAGGAGGAGAATGAGACAAGTTGAACAGCAGACGCTGCTCTCATACCCTTACGGCTGCGAACACCCCCCACACCCCCGATCCCTTTCTTCCAGAACCAGTCCAGAAAATAATGCACTGCTAACCCTCCTCTTCTTCCCAAAAAGGGACCGACGAGGGTGGGATTCGAACCCACGCGTGCAGAGCACAATGGATTAGCAGTCCATCGCCTTAACCACTCGGCCACCTCGTCTCTCGTGTTGGGTTTGTTCTGCCATCCCAGGCATACCCCTGAGTGTGTGTGCGCCAGGGCAAGAGTGCACAGGACGGGGAGGGTCTGTGTGCAGGGAGGGTTGATTCCCCCTGCGCTGCCTTTTACACCCCCCCCCTTGCCCGGACAGCCCCCCCTTCCTGTCGCCCCCTTGCCCCATCCGAGCTGGGCCCCGGATGCAGCCAGGGGCGCGTGAGCCCGTCCCGGGCAATGGTCAGAAAACCACCTCCCGACACCCCCCCTGCGCCCCCCTGTCCCCGGCGGGCGGGGCGCGGTGGCGAGTCGGCCTGCAGTGGCTCCTCCCTAGGGCAGGTGGCGCGCTGCCGCAGCGACGGGCGCCTCCATTCCCGGCCGGCTGCATGGAAGGGCTGGGAGCTGCAGCCGCCCGCTGCCTGCGCCGGTCCCCCCTGGCGAGCATGGGCGCAGCGCGGCGGGCCTGAGCGGGGAGCCCCGGCCGCGGCCGGCATGCAGGGCCCCGCCAGATGCTCCTTCTTCAAGGCGCTGCTGTGGGCGCTGGCGCTGGTGGCCCTGCTGCAGCTGCTCTACCTGTCCCTGCTCTCGGGGCTCCACGGCCGCCAGCAGCGCTCCCGCTACTCGGAGCTGTTCGGGGGGCGCCGGGGCGAGGCGCCCGGCCGGCCCAGCGAGCAGCAGAAGGAGCAGCTGAAGCGCGCCCTGGCCAGCGGCGGGCGGCTGGATGCCAGCGGCCAGTACCGGATCTACACGGACATGCTGGGGCCCCGGGAGCGGGCGGGGCGGGCGCCCGACCTGGTGCTCGCCACCCACACCAGCCTGAGCAACCTGCACCAGCTGCAGGAGCTGGTGGGGCGCTGGCAGGGCCCGGTCTCCGTGGCGCTTTTTGCGCCGGGCCCCGCCGAGGTGCGGCTGGCCACGCTGATGCTCTACGCCTTGGGGGCGCTGTGCGGGCCAGTGCGGCAGCTGGTGAGTGCCCACCTGGTGTGCCACTCGGGGGACCTGGCCGCCTTCCCCGAGCTAGAGGACCGGGCGGAGTTTGCCCGGCTCAAGGCCTGTGGGGATGTCTTCGCCAAGCTGGCACGGGCTGGGGCGGGCCGGCGTAACTATGTCCTGGGCGCCAACGCTTCGTACCCCAACAACCTGCTGCGCAATGTGGCACGGGGGGCAGCCACTGGGCACTACACGCTCGTGCTGGACGTGGACATGCTACCCAGCGAGGGGCTGCGTGAGGCCTTCCTGGCACTGGCTGCAACCTTGGGTGCTGAGGGGCCACCAGACGTCTTTGTGGTGCCCGCCTTTGAGATCCGGCACACCCGGCGCCTCCCAGGTGCCAAGGCCGAGCTGCTGCAG